GCCCCGCCACTTCAGCGGCTCGGGCCGCACTGCCAGGCCGCCGCGCCGCCCCCAGAACGCCGCGTCATGCACTTACGCCCCCCGGGCTTCTGTGTCACGTCAAAAAGGGTCATGAATACTGCATCGCGCCACACCGTGCGCGGAGCGAGTGAGAGGAGAGAAAAGCAGCACAATTAAAACGGTGAGAAAGGTCTCAACAAGCATGAGCACAAAAATATTTCTTGCAAAATTGTAGCGTACGATTTTGCCTCAATTTTTATTAGGGTGGCACCCCGTTTCTCTGAGCGGTGCGGCGGCGCCACAGGAAAATATAAAATTCCCTCCGTTGAGCTGTTTGTGTTTTCGTGACAACCCGAGCCGGGTAAGGCTGGCGGGCGGGCGGGCTGCACAGCACAGCAAGGGCCTGGAGAAGGATCGATTACACGGACACAAACGTAAGCCGAGGGTCCCGGGCCGCCTCGGAGGAAAAGGGGTGGCACCCTACCCTACCCTCCAGGTCCGGCCCGCCTCCAGCCAGACTCCAGCCAGACTCCAGACACGGTCCGGTCCACCTCCATCCAGACAGCTTCCAGAACACGAATGCCGTTCGGACGAAATGTCTACGCGGACGGCCGCATAGAAAGATCGCAAGCGGACGCATCAGCCCATTTCCAGCAAGACTCTACCAGCGGCTCGTCTCCATATTTCGGCCGACAAGGAAGGAATAACCACAGCGAGAGAGCCACGCGCGTCATACAAGCCACGGCGAAAACTAAATAAGCGCAAAACACTTATTCCCCCTCTTTCCCTTTATTTTATTTTCTTTGTGGCGCAGTGCGGCGCTGCGCGCTGGGTATATCTTTCATGTTTCCGCTTCAAAGGAGCGTCCGCGTCTGACAGCGCCGGTCTGGCCCGGGCGGGACGTGTCGGCTTGGGGTAGGTAAGGGGGAGGGAGAGGGGCGGAGGGGCTGTGTGGAGGGTTTCAAGAGGCCCCTCAGGGCGGCGGCGGGGAGCCCTTCCTCGAGTAAAAGGCGCGGGAGCGGCCCCCGGCAGCAGCGCGCCGCCAACGCATTCAAAATAAAATCATCTATTTCGAGTCGCGCTCCGCCGTGGAAAGGTGTAATAACGAGAAGAGAAAAGGGAGGGAGAAGGGGAGAGGGAACGGGAGAGTGAGGGGAGGGGGGAGGAGGACCATTAGTGAAATCACGGGCGCGGCCTCAGGGTGCGCAGCAAGGTGAGGGCGGGGCGGCGGCGGGGCGATGACAGCCAAGACAAATGTATTGGCCCGGGGCTGGGCGGGGTGGGGCGGGGCGCGGCGAAACGCGCTGCAAACGTCGTCAGTCCCCCCGGCAGACACCAGCGCGTCAACACGCCCCACGCCGCTGGATGGATATTGTGTGTTCAGCGCGCGCGCAACCACCTCGGCCCGGCCCGGGTGCTCACCGCCCGGCTCGTTAGACACACACCGTACCGTG